CACACACACACACACACACACTCAAAATAGAAAAAAAGTATAGAAAGAGGAAAAGGAAAGGCCGAATTAATAAAAAAATAAAAAAAAACACCCCCAAAATCTAAAAAAGAATAACACTAGCACGAACAATAGTAATCCGCACATATACATACACATTCACCGTAAAAACAACAAGAAAAAAGGGTTGAGGGTGGGGGGGGACGGGGTGGGGGGAGGTTGTAAAAAAAGAGAAAGTTGGAGAGAATGCGTTTCGTTGTTTCTACAAAAAATATCCGAGTTAAATTTATTGGAAAAGCTCTTTTCTATCTTTTTCTGCCATTCACTATTGTCTTTTTTTTTTTTCTTTTATTTATTTCTAGGGAAAGCAAAAAAAAAAAAAAAGGAAAAACAACAAAAACAACACAACCAGAGTACACAGGACGAACGAGAGTTATCGACTGGCGTCCAATCGAAAACGACAATCGAAGCGCATCTCACCCACGGCACGATTTCCGTTCGCGACTAAATTTATTTGATGCTTTTAATCCTCGTGTTCATAAAACACCCCTTCGATACTTTTTTTTTTTTTAATTCGTCCTTGTCTCTACTATTACGATTACGATGACGATGATGACGATGAAGTTGACAATGAAGTTGACGATTAAGTTGACGATTAAGTTGACGATGAAGTTGACGATGAAGTTGACGATGAAGTTGACGATGATGATCGGTGTTTCGCACGTGTACAAATAAATTAACGTTGGTAATTAATAATTAATTAATTTTAATAATTAATCAACGTTGAAAATTAGATATACCTGTGTTTTATTTTTTTTTTGCTTAAGAATTTATTTTTTTATATTTTTCTACCTTAACACGTGCCAAATATGTTTATGGCAAATATTTGCAGCGCACAATTACCATTTCGTTCTATTCTGTTTATTATTATTATTATTATTTTATTTTATTTTAATGTAATTTTATTTTTAATTATTTTGTTTTAATTTTATTTTATTTTTTATTATTTATTGTTTTTATTTTAACTTTTATAGATTGTCAACTTTTTGTCACACGATTGTCATTGAAGTTGTAACTCTGGTTTTGGTAACTATGCGAAAACCTTGTTTTTTTTTTTAAATTTGATACAATTACTAATTAAATAATAAATTAATTATTTATAAGTGTAATATAAATATAAACTAAAAATTATATTTACATTAATATATTTTAATTAAATTTATTACTTATAAGTTTTTAATGTGTCATATTTTTTGAAACTGTCATCAATATGATGAAATAGGTTTTCTTATTACACGTTTCTTATTACATAAAAATATAATTCTTTTTTTTTCCTTCCAGGAAACTGATTAATGATTATTCATTTCTTTATGACGATACTGGACATCCTTGATACAATCATTCGTTAAAATATAAAATAAAGATTTTTCAATGTAATCAAAAAAACGATACACAACGATATTTTCCCTGATTGTGTAATAATTCTAACATGGAGAGATAAACATATCAAAAATTTGTCTCTCTGATTACTGTCTGCTTTTATTACGAGAGTAAGAGAAATTAAAAAAAAAAAAAAAAAAAAAAAAAAAAAAAAAAAAATACAAAAAAAAAACGAAGAAAGAACAGAGAACAAGTGTACGAAACATTTTTCATGCTTTTCATTTGACTCACGAAAATTCACATACACGTACACACGTTATATTTCCATGCTTTTTTACTACATGTAGATAACCTGTTACAGTTTACATGAAACTACAAAACAAGATCAGACTACGATAAATTTCATCATGTATGTAAATTGAATAAGCGGATGAATAACGAGACAGTAGCAGTAGCAGACTCTCTCTCTCTCACTCTCTCTCTCTCTTTAATTTTCTTTATAAATTCGTCTACTAAGCTTTTCAGTCAAAAAGTTGCTTGTATTTAATTAATTTGTATTATTAGAAAAGATATATGTTAATAATTAAATATATAATAAAAAATAATATAATACATATATAATAATAAATAAATACATAAAATTAATATATTCAATAAATAAATATATTACAATAAATAAATAAAAATAATATAACAAATAACAAAAAAAAAAAATTTTAATTATTCCATAATTAAATAAATAATATAAAATAATATAAAATAAATATATTACAAATAAATAAATAAAATTTTAATTATTTAATAAAATCCTATATATTTTACAATTTATTTTTATAAAATAAAATCCTATATATTTTAAAATTCATTTCTATAAAATAAAATCCTATATTTTAATATATATATATATATATATATATGTATATATGAATAAAAAACAACTCTTAAATATTATATTTCTTCATTCTTAATTCATCTTTTATTTTTAATTTTTTCCATCCAATCACAACATTTGTTTTCTTTAGTCAATGATAATTAACAAGTAATTCAAACCAAACCAACTAAACCAAGTTTTACAATAAGGTAAAGCAACATGGCGGTTACCAACTTACCAAACTATTTTTATTTTTTATGGTTTTTTTTACTTCTTTACTGAGAAACTAGCATATAAAAAAAAGAATCTGTAGACAGACAAAGAGAAAGGAAAAGAGAGAAACAGAGAGAGAGAGAGAGAGAGAGAAAGGGGTAAACTCTTCATCGTTAAATGATGCATGGATATTATTTAAGGTGGTTGAAACTTTCTAACAAGTTCAAAAGTTTATGGTAGACGGTGATTCGTTCATTTAACCGAGTATTATATTTTAGTTTTATTTAAATTTTTTATTTCAATCTATTTTTGTTTTTTTTTTTTTTTTTTTTTATTACGAATTAATCTCTCAAACTTTGACAAGCGATAGAAAAAAAGCAAAAAAAAGAAGAAAAAAAAGAAAATATAAAAAACACAATATAAAAATGAAAAACGATACATTCGAGAGTAGCGAACGTGAAAGAAGGGGAAAAATCGAGTAGTTCAGTTTGGAAGGAATAAAAATAAAAAAAAATTAAAAAATAAAAAAAACAATCCCGAAAGAAAAGAGGGAAAAAAAAAAAGAAAAAAAAATTATTAACCACACGACAAAATTTCAAACGAGAGAAATGTTATCGAAACGATTCACAAATTTAATACACACAAACACACACACACACACACATATACACATGAGAGTTTCAGAGTTGACATTTGTCTTCTTCCTGCTTCCGCACAATTAAACGTGACCTCATAGTTACAGCAAATAAAAAAGAAAGAAAAAAAAGAGGAAGAACAAAAATACAATAAAAAAAGAAAATATATGAAAAAAAAACAAAGAAAATTTGAAAACGAGCCAACGGGAGACGGAAATCGCGCAAAGATTAATTCGATTGTTTCTTTTTCTGCATGTATTTCGAAAAGTTATCACCCCGACACACAACATTTTTACCTATTGACACGAGATGAACAAGGTTTTCCAGGTAATAAACAAAAATGCAGACCGAATTTAGTCTCTGAAAAGGTAAATCCCTCAAATTTGCAATTCATGAACGCGTGTAGTATCCTCCCACCCCCTGATCCTCCTCCTCCTCCTCCCACCACCACCCTGCATCATCTCTTCAACGTTCGACGATATTTTTTTTGTATTTGTTGTTTTTTTTTTTTTTTTTTTCAATTATTTGCTCACCGATTTTTGTTTATACTTTAATCCTTCCTCTTTACGTCTGTGCGACTGTTTATTTATAAAAATATTGACGCGTTAATATTTTTCTTTCGTTTAGTGTTTTAATCGTAACGATAAAAAAAAAAAAAGAAAGTAAAGTAAAATAAAATAAATTTCAAGTATATTTTATCGAATACATTCGTACATGTTAAAAATGTAAAACACATTTTATATATATATATATAATCCTATGTTATTACATTTCAAATGAGACTCGTTTTCATTCGTAAAAGTAATGCAATCGATAAGTCGAAATTTAATTAAAATTTATAAATTTTTAAACCAACGTATAATTAATGCGACAATATTTGAAATGGTTTTTTTTATTTTCCGATTTATATCGTTTAAATTTATTCAGAATATATCAAATATGTAACACGTTGCTATAAATGACGGCTATAGCCGTCCGATCATCGTATTTTTCAACACGATCACCAAATTAAAAGAATGCGGTAACATGTTGAGTTTTTTATTAACTTTCAACAAAAAAAATATATATATATATATTATATATAATATACGATAATATTAATATATATATATATATATATATATATATATAATTAGAATGCAATTATTATACAATACAATATATTAATTATCTTATCTTCTAATATATATAAATTACGTGTCACGTTGTTTGTCCGCAATGGACTCCTAAACTACCGAACCAATTTTAATCAAATTTTGCACACTGTGTGCAGTTTCATCCAACTTAAAAGATAGGATAGTTTATATCTCAATTTATAATCGCAATATTATTTTATTGCGAATTATTTGCTTATTAAGTCATGATTACCTCTGTTAGTTCGATAAGATTCTAACAGATGGCGGTATAAGGTTATTCGTTCACTTAAAGATGTGTGTATCGGACTGATTGTGATATGTATAATATTTTTGTTATTTAAATTGAAATACTTTGAATATTTTTCATAAAACGTTCATTTAACTATCATCAAGAGAAAAAATAAAAGAAAAAAATAATAGATGGAATTAGAAATAAAAGATGATAAAACGTGATTAACTTAGCAAGTAAAAAACAAAAAAAAATGGAAATGGAAAGATCAATTTCTTGAAACGATAACGTTACTACTACTCTTACTCAAATATTCCGTGAAAATTGCAAATTGAACATTCGAGGAATATAAGATTCGTCTAGAAATGCATCGTAAAACTTTAGATTATGGTGACCTTTAAAATGCGCTTTTCTTATCTAAATTTTATCTTTCTTTCTTTCTTTCACTCTATCCTTCTCTTTTTATCTTATTAATGGAGAGAATGTAATGGATTGGATTAATGTTCGATAAAATCTAACGAATAAATCTCACCTACTATATTAAGTATTCTTCTTGGTACTCCTTCTGTTTTTTTTTCTTTTCAGTACAATTTTAAATCCTTCCGATATCTGCAACTAAAAAATAACAAAGAAATAAAATATTTTAAATAACAAAAAATAGAAACATTTAAATTATTATCAAAAGAAGAAAAAAAAACGATAACAAACTTTAACGATTTCCAAAAAAATTAGTTTTTTTTTATTTTTCATGTTTGATTCGAATAAAAATGAATGATAGAAAAAAAATTATTTGATAAAAGAAAAACAAGAAAATGAATTAAAGAAAAAAATGTAATAAAATAAAAGAAAAAAAGAAAATGAATAAAAGAAAACAATTATTTAATACAAAAAAAGAAAAAAAAACTGAATTGACGAATGAACGAATGAAATATCTTATTGAACACATAGAAAATGATGTAACAAGTTGTACGAGATAATAAAAAGTCTATGCACAAGATGACCTTAATAAAAAATTACGTGGTAACTGTAAAAAAAAAAAAAGAAAAAAAGGAAAAAAAACCTCGATGTTAAACGTTATCGTTGTAAATTTGTAATTGGTTTAACCTAACAGGATTAACACGGGTAAGTCATTAGATATATGACGAATTGATTTCGCACGTTACACGCGATGAAACTGATCGCCGAAGGGTAGGAACTCGGTTTACGAATCTAACATCGGCGATCGGAAAAGCACTTTGGGTAATTGGATACCGGTAAATCTCATTAGCTGTATAAGCTCTCGATGTGCATGTCGGCGATCAACTAACACGCATCTACGTTTACTACGAGCTAAAGTAAAATGTTTCAGGTAAGAGAAAGAAAGAAAAAATAAAATTATAAACGAAATATAAACGATGTTCTTATGAACACATTTTCATTCAGTGTTTAGTAAATTAAAATATTAAGAATCAATTTTAATGTATAAGTTTTATTTTGATAAAGTAAAATTGGGAAATATATTTGATTATTGATTGATCGAATTTTATAATAGTTCTTTTATTTAATTATTTATTTTTTATATTATATTTTTAGTTATTTCGCGTTTAGAAAATTAAAATATCAAAGATAAATTCTATGTTTTATTTTGATATCATGTAATTAGGAAAAATATTTAACTATTGCTTAATCGAATTTTATAATGAATTTTTTATTTAATTATTTATTTATTTATTTATTTATTATATTATATTTTTTTTTTATTTTATAGGATTAATTGTTAATATTTCATATATAGAAATTTGGTGTGTTACAATATATAATTAATTACTTTCGTACGATTTTATTTCTAATTATTGTTTTAATTATTTATTTATCTATTTATTTATTATATTATATTTTTATTTATATTTAAAATCGATTTAATATATNTAATAAAAATAATAATTAATTATTATATAATAAATATGTCTATAATTATAATTAAATTAAAAGTATTATTGTACCATACAACAAATTTGGTATTAAATTATTAAATTAATTATTACTTATTAAATTAAAATGTAATATATTTTAATAATAAAAATAATAATTAATTATTATATAATAAATATGTCTATAATTATAATTAAATTAAAAGTATTATTGTACCATACAACAAATTTGGTATTACAATATAAAATTCATTACTTTCGTACAATTTGAATTCTAATAATCTTTTTCAATATTTATTTTTTCTATTTATTATATTATATTAAATTTTTATTTATATTTTAAATCAGTTTTTAATATTTCATACATAAAACTATGGTTTTACTATATAAAATTCATTAACTTTTGTACGAGTTTAATATCTAATGATCATTTTCTAAATTTCATCTACAATCAATTGAATAATTTTTATAATTTGAATGATAATTATTTAATTTTATCATCATACCTAAAAAAAAAAAACATCTGTACGTCAATTTTCGAAAAGTTTTAATATTTAAATACTACGATTTCACATAATAGTTTTGGTACTTTTATTCCATAAAATATCTTTGAAAACAATCCATTGAAAGTTGAAGACTTATCATCAGAACCAATTATTTTACTTTTCAAATTTTCTCAAACAGAATTCAATTCAAGAACTGACCTTAAGTGGCCTATTAATTTTCAAGAGTACAGAAAAGAAAAAAGAGAAAAAGAAAAAGTTTGTTAAAACACAACAACAACAACAAAACTATTGGAGGTTGGGCATATCGTTTATATCGAAAAAAAAAAAAAAAAGAAAAAAAACAAATTGGAAAAACCCATTGACTGATAAAAGTGGACTGATCAAAAATTAAAATACCATTTCAACCGATTAATCGATGATTTAAAAACCCATCGAGATCAAACCTTTTTGCCAAAGTGTTTTTTTTTTTTATTTTTTTAAATGAATGCTTTTGACTGGCATTCGCTAATAATTACTTTAATGACTCATTTGCTACCAATAATGCATGTACATACTGTATACTTATACATTAATATACATATATTGATGTTTAGTGACACATACACGAATACTATCAATAAATTGTAACTCAATACATAGAAAACGTAATAAAATATCGGTGTATCGTGTTGCAAACACAAGTCAGTTGTGTATAGTAAATGGTCGAATAAACATTGAATACTAAAAAAAACAAGTTTAAAAGTAAATCGAGAAAATGGTTGTGGAATTAAATAAAACGATATCAACAGTAGTACAGTAAGTAATTTTTCCCTACTACTACTACTACTACTACTACTACTACTACTACTACTCTTCATTTTACAAACGACTACACTCCTGTGCGATATTTAATAGTAAACAGTAAAAAGAAATACAATTAAATAAAGAACATTCAAATAATACAATAAAAAATAAAAAAAAAACATAAACCCTTTCAAGTTCCTATTTCTAAAATTACACCACTGTTCTCTGCACGTTTCAATATTCAAATTCATTTTAATATCGTATGACATACATAGTAATGTGAAATATTTGTTTGATACAATTAAAAATATTATTTTACGAGAACCAATGGAAAAATAAAAATTGTATACAATTAAAAATATTATTTTACGAGAACTAATGGAAAAATAAAATTTGTATACAAATATATGAAAAATATTAATTTTATAAATTAAAATACAAAATTACCAAAAAGTAATTAAAGTTTTTTATTGTTAAATATTTTAAAATATAAAAAAAAGAGATAGAAAAATAATTTAATTTAAAAAAAAAAACAAAAACAACAAAGAATATTTCAAAGATTAAATCAATTGAATTTTCGTATTTACCAAACTACTCGTCATACAAGTTTGAATGTTCGATTTTAAACGAAAACACGTATGTAGATGTAGAGGAGGGGGGTGAGTGAGTGTGTGTGGTAACGAATAACTTCGAATAACTTCGTGAAAAGGTACGGAAAGGTAGCCTAGAAAGGAGCAAGTACTATTACTACTGCTACTACTACTACTACTACTACTACTACTACTACTACTACTACGAACCAATAGGATCGATCCGAGAAGATGAAGAAAATTCCTCGAACGATTCGATAAACGGAATTTGTCGAGTAAGTTCTTCCCACGCTTGGAATAAATTAGGTCGCCATACTCTTTATCCACCCCTTTTCACCTTCTCTGTATCTGACCTTTCTTTCTCACCCCTGTCCTATATTCAACATTAACCCTTTACGGAAATACTACCAAGACATTTATACATGTTTTCTATTTTTCTATTTTTTTTCTCTTAAATCCAATATATGAACAAACGAAACAAATTGTAGAAAATAGAAAAAGAAAAAACAAACCCTTTGTATGTGCAAGTGTCTATTGTTAAATTCTCAAACAATTTTGAAGTATAAAATAAAAATTGAGATATCAATTTTGTGTAATAATGTTTCTAATTAACAAAATCTTTCTATAGTAAAAATAAAAAATAAAATTATCTTTCGAATGATCGAATTATTATTAATTAATTAATTTTTTTTTTTTTTTAATAAAATAATTTATATCTTAATTTAATATTATTTTGATAAAAAACAAATTATAAATTACTTTATATTAAATATTAAATTTTATTATTTTAGTATGAAATTGTAATATATTTTAAAATATTATTATTAATTAATTTGTTTTTTAATAAAATAATCTATATTTGAATTTAATATTATTTTTATAAAAAACAAATTTTAAATTACTTTATATTAAATATTAAATTTTATTATTTTAGTATAAAATTTTAATATATTTTCAAATATTAATTAACAATTATTAAAATCATACTAAAACTTTATTTGAGTGTACTTAAAAAAAAAAAAAAAAAGAAAAAAAAAGAAGAATACAAAACAACAGTACAAATTAATTCATTTATGACTAATCCTTATTATTATTATTATTATAATTATTATTATTATGAAAATGGTAATATGAATAAAATAAATATATTTCAACGTGTTTCGTGTGATATAAGATGAGAGTTCTGAAAAAGACGAAGCTCGTCGAATTTCTCTCAAGAGAATTTTTCTCGATCGTTTCTTTCCTGTCAAAGAGACATAGAAAAAGAGAAAGAAACAAAAAATAGGAAGAAAAAAAAAATTAAAAAAAAAGGAAAATAGAAAGAGGATAAAAGCGTTTTTCTCTTCTACGACACCACCGTTCCGAGTTTCGTTGCAAAATGTAACGTCGACAAGAGCCTCGTAAAATTTCTGTCACCGGTATCGCACGTCAAACGTAGTCGAACGCATACGGAACCAACCGGGAAGGGCCGCAAGCGGTCGATTAATCTCTCCGCGAGTTGAAAGCCTTAGGGGGATAAAAAAAAGAAAAGAAAAACAAAAAGAGGGATGGGGGATTAGAATAGGAAATAAAAAAAAAAAAAGAAAAACATGTGAAATAGGATAGAAAGAAAAATGAGTGAGAAATAGAAAGAGAGAACAAGAGAAAGCGAATGAGAAAAAGAAAGAGAGAAAGAGAAAGAGAGATAGAGAAAGATAGAAATAGTAATAATAATTCATAGAAAAAATGTAATTCGATTAAATGTCAATAGAAATAAATCAATATTGGAAACACGTATTTTTATATTTGTATATATATTAATATAATAATATATAATATTTATATAT